GCTCTGTTAAATACTCAAACTGAGAATATATTATTCCCAATGAACTAATATTCCAAGAAAATCAAGAACTAAATTGAAGAAACATCGTTTTTTCAATTTAATGATAGTTTCTTTCCTTCAAGAAACAAGTGGATCTAAAATAGTGAGCCTCGTATTCATTTTAATTCCAGATCTATTTCAATTAAGCTCTGTTAAATACTCAAACTGAGAATATATTATTCCCAATGAACTAATATTCCAAGAAAATCAAGAACTAAATTGAAGAAACATCATTTTCTTAATTTAATGATATTTTCTCCGTTTGATACTATTGTTTATTTAAAAACTTGAGAAAATCTGAATTCTCTCTTTGAATATTTACTTTTTTGTGTGTAGCGCTACACATCATTTAAACGATATGTAAGCTAGATACGCTATAACGTATGTAATACGTGAGATGTAAATAACATAAAAGTAGCTGCGATATGGATATATATACAAACCAAAATTTCATAGGACCCTAAAAAGTATACGGTTGCAAGAAACTGTAAATTACCTTCCAGTTGAGTAAACCCGTATGCTCCCGACGTACCAGGACGTCAATATAGCATCAAAATATGTGTCTCATCGATGTTGCGAACCTATATTTTTTTTAGTCTAAAGAAATTTCAATTGGTGCTACATATTGTAGCCTCTTCCATGTCATATAGTGCCATGGGAATGGCTTCATTATTAAATACGTATTCGCAAGATTGAAGCTACATATCAGGTGAATGTTGTATATTTCGTGTAGTCATGGAGATACGGTCTAAATTAGGTCAACTATATTTCAGAATATGTCATGTATTTCGTGTAGTATTATTATTATTTCGTGTAGTATTATATTATATCCGTGTATTAGTAGCGATAGTATTTCAAAATTAGTTAAAAGTATCTGAGAAACGATTTAACTCTAATGAGATACTAGAAGTAATACCAACAAAAATCAAAATTAATTATTATAATCAATGATTTTTAACTGTTTGGAATTATTTTACTCATTCTGAATTTTGCGAGTAATATTTTATGAAATCAATTTATTTTTCTGAATTATGCAAATTTGTTTTTGTTTGAAATCAACTTAACGAATTCTAAATTTTAATTTTCTCAAATAGAATTGATAGCCTGATATAAAATAGTTTTCTGAAATTAAATGTACTAGGCTTAAATATTTATAAATAAATTCAATTCATTGTTTCAAGATGAGTTACAAATTAGGAAAAAATAATTTAGCCATCTTCTGTTATTTATGTTACATGTTATGTATAAATGCCTTGTAAAAATCGTCAAAATTTAATTTTGTTTCATCTGACTGAAAATCGAGAAACAAATTCAAAACGTTGATCTTAATAATCTCTGAAAAAAATAAGGAAAAACAGTTATCCTCATAATGCTATGCCTTAATGCTGCCTTTAAACTAAATTTTTACTGATAAAGAGACTCGCGCCAGTATGTTTTTAATTTTAAATATAAACATGCTTTTGAGAATAATTAAAAATAGAATAAAACAGGAAAAAGCTTTTCCACAGTGGATTTGATATTGACTTTTGTTGTGGGATTATCAGATATGGCCACCGATTTTTGCATCTGTGGTTACATGAAATCAATTATAAAAAAAATACACAAGTCTTTCAGGCTGTTGTTTTATTTTTGAAAATGATAGAACATCAAAAATTTGTAATTGAACCGGTTAAAAAAGTATGAAGATATCAAAGGTAATCACAAACACGATACATTGTGATGTGTTATACCAAGGTTCAAAATGCATTTATATAAAGTAAAACCATATACAGGGTGTAACTTTAGGTGGGGGTCACATTTATACAGAGGCTTCCTTTAACCTTTAGAAACACGTATCAATAGTTTATTTTGTCAAATTCCGTCGTAAAAACTAATTTTGTTAACCTTTTTTTAGTAATTTTCGTACCCCTCCGCTGGGCAGGCAAGTGTAACCTTAAATAACGCCACGCCACACCCCTCGCCGTGAGGGCGAGTGGGTGTTTACCACACAAACAGTACTTAACAAGTAACCTACCAAAAAATTCAAGCAGTAGTCAATAATGATAAATGAAATACACAAAAATAAATAATCTGTTTACTCACATAAATTTTAACACTTCTCTGAATTTGTTGTTCCAGTCCAATATTATTGTATTGGTATTCAAAGCTGATATAATCTCTTAAATGTGTAACCTGCCATTTTTAACCATGTGGACCTCATGACACGGAGTTCGTTTGGAATTTATTAACGAATCGTTTTCTGTCTAAATATAACTTCAACTTCACAGTTAGATGTACCGTCTTCAAATAAGGAACAACAAATGACCCCTTCGCCTCGTCACCGTTGACCTACACTATCTCCCGCCGCATGCACTATGGGTTGTCAACAATCCATGTATTTGTAATACATTAATTTAAAAGATTAATTTAAAAGTCAATTTAATAAACACGCATATAGCATCAAATATTTTTTTCTCGAAATCTCGTGCTATAACGTTTGCAGTGATATCAACTATTCTTTTAAAGACCCAGAAGTTTCTTTGATAAGTTAAGAATCACCCTGTATAATACTAATTTTAAAAATATGTCTTAAACTTAAGCGTACTTTCGTCTTCTAACGGTGCGTGAAAACGAAAGCGCTGATAATTAAATTATTATGAGATGTTTTTGCAACACGTGTTAACAAGTAATAACGTGTCGTTAATAATGTCAAGTTTATATATCTTCATTATTATAATTTACCGAGATTATTTGTCACTTTCTTATCCTAACATTTATTCGGGTTCCGAATTATGCAAACTCATAACTAACTCAACAAATCCTGCCTCTTCCAAGTGGTACATAAATATTTCAGTGAGCATTAAACTTAAGCCATTATGCCCACTTTATTAGAGCAATTACTGTGAAAATTTACCTAAACTTTTCTTTACAGGTTTCGTTCTTCTCTACGAGTCCCGAACTCAGTAACAAGCAGAGATTCGAATACTTCTCGAGGACAATTCCATCAGATCATTATCAAGTCAAGGCTATGGTAGACATCGTTAAGAGGATGGGCTGGAGCTACATATCAATCATCTATGAGGAATCAAATTATGGGATCAAAGTAAGTTTATAAGTCTTTTACAATTTTAAACCGATTTCATAACAAATTATTGCTTTTTTTCAGCAGGTATTTTCACTACAACTTGTTGTACTAGGGGTTTACTGAAGAATTTTTTATTTCTCTATCAGTATTTCCGACCTATTTCCCTATTCACTCCATAACAGAACATGTTATGCATTACAACTTTTAATTTATATCTCTTCTACATCATACAGGGCGAGTCAGTAACTTTTATAAGTAGTCCAGTCATTGAAGGTAAAATCCCTCAAAAATAATAGAATTGTAGATTCGAGCGTGTAATAGGTTGAAATCATCTTCAAAAAAGTAATTATGATGAATTGATAATTATCAATCCCTAAAAACCACCCACAAATCATTAAAAAATAATGTTGAAAAATATTATTCAGCAATTTCCGGTACTCCGGTAATCGCCACGGTAGCGCAGTCGGTCGAGAGTGCGGTGGCAAGCATTTCTCGGCCAGGCTTCCTACTCTGGTCCGGGTTCGATCCCCGGTGTCGGCACTGGCAATGTCGATGGATAATGGGTGTTGTCCGCGTTTTTTCATGTGTAGTTCCCTTCCGCACAGCCTTTGGCTTTGGATTTGGCGGTGGTCTCATTTCTGTGGTGTGTTTTTTTTTTTAATTTGGAGTAATTTAGCCATAATAGTGATATTAAATTAAGATTTCTTTACTGTTTTAATTTTTTATTACTTATTTATAAATTTCAACCCTTATAAAAACCACCCTTGCAAAAAAATCGAACAATTATAGTTTAAAAATTTCCAAAAAAGCAAAATGTACAATTTTGTACTCTACAAAACTTTGCGTGTCATTAATAGTTTTTGAGATATTTTGAAAAGACAATTTTTTCCAAAAATACAAATATTCTCTTTTCACTTCAAGCTCAACTTTTTTCAAAACTAAGCACTTTAAACCGGTTAAACCGGTCAAACTTCTAGATCATATTACAAGTACATCAATAAAGTAAATTGTAAAGTGGTAACGATTATTTTCAATTGAGGTGGTAATTAGGGGGTGATTTTCACGTTTTTTGTCACCGATAGAAATACGGACTAACTTTATTTTCATCATAACTCACTTAGGTTTGATACTAGGGATTTTTATAAATGAACAAAAATAAAGTTTTTTTCAAACACATTAAAAAAGGTTATCTGAGTATTCCCTGAAAAATGCATTAGTTTTTGGTTATTTCACGTTCAAACTTTCAATTTTGGCGTTTGACGAATAAGAACCAACATTCAACAAGCTATTACTCCGCTTGTATTGGGTCTATAGACACCAAAAATACAACGTTATTTTTGTTATTTTATAAGCTGCATTTTTTATAAAAATGTCTTTTTTGATAAAATACTTACTTTTTGAGTTAAATGCGAAAAACCGTCTGAAAAAGTGTTTTTTTTTTGTTAAAAAAATTACACTTTCACTCGCGAATAAGTCGAAAAGTATTTACTTTCAGAAAAAACTTTATAGAACAAAAGTTGCTTATAATTAGTCAATATATCCATTCCATTATTTTCAATGAAACATTTTCACCCCCGTGAAGGGGTGGCATCCACCCCCAGGGTAAAAGCAACTCCCTGTACAAGGTCAACATTGAAGTAGAGAGTAAGTTAGAGTATCCAAATTTTTATGAAAATCGGTGCTGTTTGACAAAATTATACGGAAATATGGTCATTGACTGGACTAAAGTAATAAATTCGATATCAAACACAAAACTCTTTAGAAAATAATACTCACACAATATTAAATGTGCAGCACTTTTCTTTATATATGACATCGATAATTTTTTAAATTTATCTCAGTTTTTTGGCATTTTTTTTAAATGTTTAAAGTCACTGCCAAATTTGAAATATTTATTTCTAGTCGTTCCCAAGATGCAACAAGCTAATTTTTTTTTATCATTTGTGTAATTATAAAAATATGCATTTTTTAACAAATTTGGTTTCAAAACCTTGTCTTTAATTCTGTTGCATGTTTTCTACAAATTTTTAATTAATTTATTAAAAAATCGATTTTTAAAACAGATTAATTAAATAACCCATATTTTCTAAAATTACAAGATTGGTAAAAAGATAATCTTTAATGTCCTGTATCTTGGGAACAACTAGGTATAAATATTTGGAATTTGGTGGTGATATATAACTTTACACCCCCTTCAAAAAACTACGGGAGTATTTTTCTTTAACAATTTTGTGTCAGATATACCTAATTTATTCCATCACAGTGACTGTATAAGTGGCAAATTCAATATTAATGTACTTAATATTAAATGAAAGTTAAAACGATCTCAAAAATCGAGACAACGTAGTAGACGTCGAAAGTGATATCATTTATTTTCTTGTGCTTCTTATTCCTAATATATTTATTGTTATAAGTATAATTATACTTATTATACAAAAATGACGAAGAGTTTTAGGAGTTACTGATAAGTTTGGACATAATTAATGAATAGTGTATGTTAGAGAAACCACTAAATGTTAAGAAATAAAATATTATGTACATGCTAAGATATTTTAAGAAAATATTATTTCATTATAAGTTGAAGAGCATTACACTAAGTAAACTTGAGTTTTTAAGGATATTTGACAAGAAGTTATATTTCTGTTGATACACGCTTAACATTAAGCAGGGTTCTCCTACAAATTAGCTGGTCGTTGTTAACTGCTACCAGGTAGCTGCTACTAATAAGATGAACAAGATTCATCAATTTTTGCAGTAAATTCCATTATTACTGTCAAGTATTCTAAAACCACCAACAATAACAGACTAATTCGTTGTGAATAGGACGCTGCTTCTCTCCAAGGGGTAACGACCAACGACCTGCGAACAATCGTTGGTAGCAACTACTTTATAGTTTGTAGGAGAACAAACTCCAATTAATTGCATTGTTTGATTCTTGGCGGCTTAGTAGCAGCTACCCAGTAGCGAATTTATAGAAGCTTTACTAATAGCTTATAACAGTTTAGGTTTTCTTCCTCACTATTCTACAAATGATCTGAACTTTAAGTACTTTCAAAATATCGTATTTATTATTAGTAAAATTGAAAAAATTACCTGCAGATTCATCAAATCTGCAATTCTAGGAATTGATGGAGAATATTGTAAAATTCTTCATATTAAAGAGTCATATATTATTCGATACTTTTGTTGTATAAAATTGTACACAACTGTATTAAATCAGAGAACACGTTTTCTCATATCTCTTTCAAACCTTGTACGCCGCTTTCTACGTCCGTCATTGACACGTGTATTAGATGCATACTACAGACAGGATCGCTGAAATACCAGATACTTGAAGGAATAATTTTTGCCATCATTCGTTTTAAGTATGATCACATGACCTGTATTCAAATTCAAAAGGTTTGCAATTTATTGCTATGAAAATTGAGGCTAGATATTTATTGGCGAGGCCACAAAAATCTTGCACACTTGCAGATTCAGTTTATTCACGATTTTAGTTCCATAATTTTTTATGGGTAAGTACCTACGTAATTTTTTAAAGTATATATTTCTCCTACTAATATAGCTCAAAGAACAATTTTATAATATCCATTTGAGAAGAAACAATAATACAAGAATAGTTATAAATAATATGAATTAAAACAGATTCATTTTTTTAAATTCCTATTTATACCGTTTGTTGTTTTCATAATTAATTTCATAAAGTGTACACATTTTTTTCATTAAACGATATTCTATCGGTGTCAATAAGTTATGTAGCTAATATACGCATGGAAAGTATATTTAAGAGGTATACGAAAATCCATTATACGTTCAATGTTAAGTGTCAAACATATCATATCATCTGCTACATAGAAATTCAGATCTTGCACATTATATTCTCGTATATTTCAACTATAAACAGTATTCAGAAAACTGACAAAAGAGAAGAAGGCATTCGTTTTAACTAGCAGTGTCCAAAATCATTCGAAAAAGTGTAATTTTTTCCAACCGTCACAAAACTATTAAATTTTTTTCCTGTCAGAGAACTCTAAAATTGACATTTTATTTACTGAGAAAAAAATGGTATCTTAGCAACAAAAGTATTCATTTTTATTCCTAGGAGCTAAAGTTGACACTTTTAATCCTTAGATTTAAAGTTAATTAAGTTTTAATTTATAAAAATTGATTCAACAATATTTACAATAATTTTTGTTTATCCACACTGATATTAAATACACAATTTGAACAAGTATTAAAATTNAAGATGCTATATTCAATTCATTTTTCCCAAGCTCACAGGCGTTGTAGGGTTTTGATCATTAGTTGTTTTTGTACATAAATAAAACATATTGACATAGGCATTTACTGAGAATTTAGTTTTTCAAATTTAATTTGTTTAAAAATGACTTTGAAAAAATGTTTCATCATCTCCAGTAGATTCTTCGTCAATTTCTAAAATGTCATGCCAACGGAAGCTTTATTTCGTGTATACTAATCCAAGCACCTTGAGTCCCTGGGTCATGGCTTTCATGCTGTCATGACAGGCACAGGTGGAAGATGTACGAGCCAGGCTTTCGGATGCTCAGAATCGGCGGCTGGTCAGGGTGTGAAAGCGGGCCCCGCGAAATGAAGCTTTATATAGTATTTTTTAAATTGACGGAAAATCTAATGGAGATGCTGAAATTGGGAGCCAATAACGATATAGACTATGTTCCTTGCATCAAACAATCGAACTACTGCGTAACGTGGTTATGGGAGTTATGGGGTTATGGATTTATAGGGTTATGGGGTTCGGAGGTTGGAGATTATAGTGTTAAATATATTCTGACTGATATATCCCGTGATAAGAGAGTAAATTAAACTCTTGAGTACCGTAGGTTATTGGAGTTATCGGTTATGGGGTTATGGTAATATATGGTTATGAGGTTAGGAGGTTTGAAGCTGAATGTAAAGGATTATGGGGTTATTGTGTGTGCACAGCTCCCTTTACAGTACAGTTGTATGTAATAGGACTTGATAGCTTATGAGGTGATATG